ATTTGATATTTCGTCTAAAAGTTTGCTGTATTATTTTTTATCCATGGGAACACGGATTTTAGTCAGTGTCATGACTGGCTGTACGTTTTGATTCGGCAAAATTCTTGCTACTGGAAATTCAGAACTTTTTTGAGGGTACCGGTAGCGTCAAAGGTACCGGTAAAGACTGATTCGCTCTGGTCTAACGTGTCCATATATTTGTGCGTAGCTCTCTTGTTTTAGAATAGTATTCTTTCATTTTAGTAATCCTAATAGTAATCTCGAATCAAACGTGAGTGACGATGAGCACAATTAGAATTATTACGACAAGACACTTTAAATGCAATTTAAATGAAGAATGTTGCGTAGAAATTTCCAATTCCAATTTTGAACCCCTCCCTCTTAAGAATCCTGGCTGTGCTCCTACTTATAAATAATGTCATTTTTTAATTCCGCCTTTTTGCCATATTTCGAGGCTATATTGTTGTCCAATTTTATCAAAGCTGTTATTGCTTCTTTGAACAGTTACAAAATTAGCCAAGTCAGTATTTTGAAAAGTAACCGAATAGCTCGCGGAGCCCCTGGGTTTCTCTCGCGGAGCCCTGGGGCTCCGTACGGAGCACTTTGAGAACCTATGTTATACAGTATCTAATACTGACCTAAGTGAGACGCCCGCCATTCGCCATGCGATGACGCACAGCAAATTTGAAAAACGCTGATATGAGATCTAGACAAATTAAGACGAAATCGTATCACGTGGCCAAATGCCATTTCCCAATCAGTGTCCGTCGTCTATGGACCTTCTTTTTCTTCTGTGTTTCTTTATTATAATTGCCTTCTTCTTATTTTGACACGTTGGCCGTAAAAACGCTGACGTCGTGTATTTGAGTCAATGTAGTCGAGCAGGTGAGGTTTCGTTAGATCAAGATTTGAGCTAGATTTAAGTTAGAAGTTGTGCAGATTTTAAAGTGTGCTTTGTGCTCTGTTGCATAGAACCCAAGTTAAAACAGGGGTACAGAATATTCTAAACGTAAAATCGGGAGAAAATTGTTACATGTCGCGCGGTGTACCTTAAGTTTTTAATAAATTTCCAACCTGAATTTCCTATACACCTATGCCTTGCTGAGAGGACAGGGTTGTTAGTTTTGTGAATCAGCAATATGTAGCCACAGTTTGGACAGTTTATGTCTAGTGTAAAAGCATATTGTGTGTTTGATTTTCTTGATTGTATTTCCGCCTACAATTTCGTCGTGTGATTATTGATAATACCAGTGTTCAACCCCCTGTCGGTAGGTAGATTACGGTATTTATTACCAGAATGTGCTTCGTTTGTTTGTGTATTTGTTTCTGTAATTTTATTGCGCTGTGAATGTTGGCGATTTCATGTGTTGGTATAGAAGTCTCCATACCCCAAATACAGAGTAGAGTCTCCAATGAACTAAATCCGATGGCGTTATTTATTTGGGGGTCTGAGTCTCTTTGCTGAATGATGAAGACTAAAGGTGGGCAAGTTTTTTATCAGGGGAAGAAAATATTGCCTACTTAAGGCTGGCGGGCCATGTAAGTGTGACGTAAAAAGATGCATTTAGGGACAATATTCAGTGTTACAATAAGCCTCGTGCCAAAACCAAATTTAATCTCAATCTAAAATTCTTTGAGCTATTTTCAGCTTAAACATCTAAATTTGGTTTTAGTTTGGTTGGGAGAGCATCAGGCGGGCCAGATTTGGCCGGCGGGCCGTAGTTTTCCCATGTCAGGTCTACCCTACCTAACACTGGATGATGTTATGTTTTATGTTTATTTTTTTAGTAATATTGCTGGTCTTTTCTACTTGTACGGTTTTTAATTTTCTACCCCAAAGTTGCCGATGGAACGTGATCAGTCAGGACAATCAATTGGTGTTCCAGAAGTCACAATGCTGCTAGTTTGCGCATGAGTACTTGCTAGTGTTCGAATTGCACAAGAAGACTATACCCACCCAACTTTTTGTACGTTTTTGCTTCGAACATTTACAAGCAGCCATTCATTGTAAGGAGGGAATTCTGAGAAAACTGGGATCTTTCCGGTTCGCTCGCATTACGTACCCAATTTGGTACTCATGTAGTGTGTGTACCAGGTTAGGGTTAGACCACAATTTTATTCCAATTTTCCGTATTCTAGTTCTATTACGACTTAGGGGACTGTCTGTGCTTGCCAAGTGAATATACCCCGTCCACAGATTTTCGTGCTTTTACACGAAACTTGATGTAAAATAAGCGAACAAAACTAGTTAAAATCCCTATTGGTGCACACACTTTTGGAGCGCCCCCAATTTAATATTCCCGGGGTGAGTTAGTAGGTATGAGATGGGTCACAAGCGACTTGGGATTGCAACATAGTCAAATCTAACGCTTAACTAATAGGCTACCATTTGGTGCGCGGTGGCAAGCGTGTTACGCAGATCGTTTAGTCCGCGGATGCGACCTATTAGGAAAACAAAATATTTAGCAAGCGATGGCCCCACTGGATTTGAATCAACTTGCCACAAATCCAGCGCTTTAAGGTTAAGGTGGATGCTTCGAACGGTTAATCGAACAATGTAGCAATCGGCCAGGAAATAGTAAGTAATGTGGGTGAGTACGACCGATTTATAATGTATTCCTCGAATGTCCCTCTCAGTCCCTTTGAATTCGAAACCCTACTTGTGAGCACAACACTCTGATTTCGTTGTTCCTGTTAAAACAGATAAGAGGTAATTAATTGTGTTACAGGAAGGGCCATATTAAACTTGCATGATATCATACGAGTATTTATTTTGCAGAAACGCCATGCATCTCTCGGGCGACACATAGGATCACTGATAGTTGCATCATTAAGATCACAAACATCAAGCATTTCTAGAATCGCAGGTTTCCGAATTCGTGTCTTATTTCGTCTGAAACTGTTCAACAAGTCTCATCTGTGGGCTGTGTTAAGGAAATCACTGATTATTGCAACATGCGGCGGTCGGGGAAACTTGCGTAAACTTTAAATAATGTTTCAGACGAAGGTAAAAGAAGCGTTGAAAAATATGCATCCACTTGGTTTGAACCTGGTAAGCCATGACAGTCTCTCACTTGTTGTGCTTGCGCTGCACTTGATTGCCTGATTCATTCAAATTTTATCAAAAAGGCACGTATACCGTTACAAATTCTAGCCGGCTTTAATCCGCATTTTGGAAATTTTGTAATTAATTAGTTTTCTTTATAAAAATAGGTTGAGGGCCACACAGGACTGAGCTGTAAGCACAATAGTCAATGTACACAGGTATGCTTCCAACACAGGTGCTTATCGACGAGCGTAGAAGGTGGTAGGTGGAGTGGGTGGGTCCTATTAATTGTCATTGTTTTCATTTCTTCGACTTTTGTAAAAAAAAAAAAAAAAAACTGTTTACGACGAGAAGTGTAACCGTTAATAGTGCATATTGAAAAGGTAAGTTAAATACTGAGTGCCATTAATTTTAAAATCTGGTCCCAGAAGGACAGTTTCTCCTATTTTTCAGAGAAACAAAAGTGTTAATTGAATATCGGAATGAGATCTTGGGTGCTGGGTAAAGATCTAAAGCAGGAGAGGTTCTATGACAAGGGGCCAAAGATTTTGCTCACTCATACTAGCGGGCCAGGTAAAAGTGACGTAAAAATATTCAGTGTTACAAAATTAAAATTTGAGTAATTTTAATTGCAATCTCAAATTCTTTAGCTATTTTTTTCTAAAACAAGATTTGGTTTTAGTTTGCTTGTGGCTGCATCAGGCGGGCCGGATTTGGCCCGCGGGAAGTAGTTTGCTCATATCCGGTCTGAAGCCAGAGTGTCAAGTCGAATCCGGATAAAAGAGTTCGATATGATCCAATCGCCGAGTAAGACTCGCTGGTGATCAGTTGAAGATTTTGAGCCGCCGAGCCTTTGATAAACTGTGCCCGCGTGGGTAAACACCTTCGCCGACCTGACACTCTTATTAGCGAAACTGACGAACAAGGAGGTACGTTGTGAATAAATACACATAGGGGAAGGTGGGGCACGTTGGGACATGGGGCACAGTGGAAAATCAGCTCTCACACTGATACTATATTCGGAATCCGGTTCGCGGTTTGATGTTTCAATCCGCCCTTCGGTGAGTTACAACGTCCCAGCAAACGGACAGCGGACGGGTAGAGCGACGCAAGCTATGAGGTGAAATTGGTTTTGGGGAGTTGAAACTAAAATTTCACCGTTCCAGTTTTTTCTTTTTTCTAACTTAGCCTTTTCAACGTGACAAACCACCGTCTGATATCTTTAAGCTATAGTCCACTGTGAAATATTTATAACGTTGGCGAGTGGATGTGCCTTCCGAATTCCGCCGTGAGATGATCTGAAGATATTTGTTGATTATGGGGAACAATGGACCGGAGTTCAGTGGGACATGCTCTACATGGCACAATTCGACAGTGTTTGATACAACAAGTGCTTAGAGACTTATAGATGCGTTATATTTTTATGTAACATAATGGTATCTTTCGACTCATGGTCCAATATGAAATATATTCGAGAATCAAAAATGATTTTAAAAATCTTAAATCTTCAAATTTGAGGTCTCCCTGTTCTTTAGACGATTATGCTGATTGATTGCTTATTTTTAAGGGCATACTTCCTTGAATTTTAACAGAATGACCCATTGTGCCCCAGGGTCTGTCCGAATGTGCCCTACAAGTGGGGTACAGTGGGACACTTGACAAACGTTTTTCAAAGCGTTTTAGTGGTAAGATGTGTGTCGCAAGGGAATTTCTTAGTCGCTGAATAAAATATACATTTACCCCTCTCTGCAATAATCCCGCAAAGTCATATGAATATGCAGAATAAAGGGCTCAGAATATGAAAAAGAAAAAAAGTGTCCCAACCTTCCCCACTTTCCCCTATATATTTAATTGTAGCTTATTATAAAGTGATAGTTTATCACTATTGCGTGTTTGTTCAGGTCACCTATAAATTCCCAGACTAACTTCCGGAACAGCACTTGCTTAGGCTCAGGGTGATTCCGTTGAAATGGGGAATTCTCCATCTATCTGTTGGTTGTATTATTTTTTGATTAATATAATCCTTGGTAAGCGGTGTAAGTTAGATATTTCATACGGTGCTCACCGTCAATAGCTGTATAATTTCAAAACTCAGAATTCTGACTTCTTGAATTAGATATTGGAACCTCGGGTGTTGCTACTCGATAACCGGCTTTGGTTCCCGCGCCTTCCCTTTCTCAGTAAAACTGTAAATTATCATTTTCTCGTAATTTGTGCTTTTGATATTTTCCTTTACAAGTTGGCAAAAATAAGCTTGACTTGTTCAGGTGGTCAAAATGGGAAATCGAAATACTTTCAGACTAGTGAAGCTGACGGAACATGCAAAAGGGTACGTGATGTATGTTTAATTGTAACTTATTGTAAAGTAGTCATTATACCGGTTGCGCGTTTGTTGCAGATATATATGGAAATTTTTTAAAAAGAACACGCCTGTCAAGTAACTCCAGATGTATTTTCAGTCGCGGATCGAGATATTGTCGACGCTAGTAACTACGGCATTGCATTCCTGAGTCGCCCAGGTACAGTTACAGGGAATTTATGGTTTGCTATATATATATATATCAGTGTTCCCTCGTCTTTGTTTAATTTTCAGTTCAGTTTTCCAAATATTTTTCCAGTTTTGTGTCGAAGCTTTGGTACCGGTTGCGTGTTTGTTGCAGATATGGAAATTTTTTAAAAGAGAAGACGCCGATCAAGTAACTCCAGATGTATTTTCAGTCGCGGATCGAGATATTGTCAACGCTAATAACTACGGCATTACCTTCCTGAGTCGCCCAGGTACAGTTGCAGGAAATTTATGGTTTGCTATATATATATCAGTGTTCCCTCGTCTTTGTTAAATTTTCAGTTCAATTTTCCAAATTTTTTTCCAGTTTTGTGTCGAAGCTTCGAAAATTTTAAAAAATAACACGCCTATCAAGTAACACCAGATGTATTTTCTGTCGCGGATCGATATATTGTCGACGCGGCATTGCCTTCCTAAGTCGCTCAGGTACAGTTACAGAAAATTTTTGGTTTGCTATATATATATCAGTGTTCTCTCGTCTTTGAGCAGTCTTCCAAATATTTTTCCAGTTTTGTGTCGAAGCTTTGGTTCAGATATGTTTTTAACATACCTATTTTTCGGCTAATACTACCATGGATGCCGCGGAACCCTAGTATTCCACTAAATATAGGAAATTCGTAAGTATTACTTACGTTGCTTGGACCCGCCGATTTCGATATATATACAGCTTTTAACAATCACAGCTGTCAACAAGAAGCGGACTGTCAATTCCAACCTTATTCCACTCTAAACACCAATCAAAATGACTTCAAACAAAATTTAATTCTTCTAAGGCGCAGCACCAAGTCGTTTGGAAGAATAATCTTCTCTACAGCACTACCATTGGTTGGTATTTTTTTCACTCTGTTATTTTACGTTTACTCTTACCATTTGTTTTATATCTATCCCAACGCGAAACATAATATGAATCCCACTTTAATGCTCAAGTCGAACCATTTAACCAAAGTTTACCTACTACCGTGCCCGGAAATCTCGTGCATAGGAAAGATCAGTCTGTTGCAGAATAAGTAAAAATCAGTTGGATTTATAGGGTTAGGGTATGGTCTTAATTAACGAATCTTTTCAAATGAAAAGGGGCATTCAAAAACATAACTATTAGTATCACAACTAAGACTAACGATAGTTACATTCGTTTGCTATATTTTAAATCATTTTATTTTCGATTTAATTAACAATGTTGTTCGTAATCCAATAATCCAGATTCAGTCTAATTTTGTTAGGAAGGCTTTATAGGGTTGGGGTATGCTCTTAACTAACGAATCTTTCTAAATGAAAAGGGACATTCAAAAACATGATACAACTAAAACTAACGATAAATTTCGCTTTCGAATTGAATCATTTCGATTCAACCAATGTCGTTCGTAATCCAATAATCCAGATTCAGTCTTAATTTTGTTAGGAAGGAACATATAACGTCCAAACTCTAGGCGGCTTTAATTCGTCAATGCTTAGCAGAGAAAGGTATAAATTATGAAAGTTTTCTTTATAATGTGGGTGGGGGAGGGCCACGCACGACTGTACTGTTTTAATGTGGTTTATCAATTTGTAATTCGTATGATCGGAACCTCTTGATTGAATATACCTACAGTTTTTTTCATCCATCAACCAACTAAAATTCAAGTAAAACGTATTCAAAGACAGCACATTCATAAACTAAAGGTTATATAATCTAGTGTTTGACAAACTGACTGATAATTTTTATCACTCGAGAAAGCCATATCCAATGACATAATCTGGAGCGATACTCGCAGGATCTTGATCCAAAGTGATTTATCTAATTCTAAATTATGTATTTTTTCAAATCGGGCGGTGTCAATTTGCCATATTTTTTAAGTAATGTGCTTTTACCAACTTGGTATTGGATCTGATTTGTAATATTGTGCTTTGGGCGTTCCAAAAGTGTGTTGCCAATATTACGGCAACTAATTTTTTTCGCCTAATTTACATCAAGTTGTTTGAAAGGAGTTTGAAAGGACTGAAACTTATGGACAGGGGGGCTAACACAGACAAAGGTATATTCACTTGGCTAACACAGACAGTCTCCGAACTCGTAACAGAACTAAAATATAGATATGGCCTAAGGGTATATTCACTTGGCTAACACGGACAGTCCCCGAACTCGTAATAGAACTGAAATAAGGAGAATCTGAATGAAATTATGGCCTAACCCTAAACTGGTACACATACTACGGGAGTACATTTTCTTGTTTATTATTCGCCAATCCACATATTCTTTGCCACTTGTGTCCGACTAGACTATAGTATCCCTTACCAAGTTAAGATTACATTTCCCTTTAAAATCTGCTCAAGCAGGCTTGAAGCGTTGGCAAGTTTCTTTTTTCAAAATCCATTTTCTCTGAAGAAAGTACAAATATCTGGTGCTCGGAGGGTACTTCAGAGTATGTGGACCAGGCTAGAGTTAGGCATAAATTTTATTCCGATTTTCCTTATTTTAGTTCTATTACGAGTTCGGGACTGACTTGTGTTGTCCAATTGAATATACCTCCTGCCCATAGGTTTCAGTTCCTTCATACAGCTTTATGTAAAATAGGTCTAAAATATCGAGCTCAATGACAGATGACTGATCGTTGCTGTAAATAATATTGTACACTCCCTCCTCGATAGCAACGCTAACTATTCCCGTAAACCACGAATAACTTATGCTTTCATTCATAACTTATTCAACCCATTACTAATTTTAATATGTGGTGTTTATATTTGTAGGTCTTCATGCAGAATAAATCGTGAGATCTAAACCGTTGTGACAGACCTGCGGAAGAGTGTTTGGTGGCATGCTTTGCAAGATTTTCTTCATGAAGCAGAAATTAAGTCCAGTGGCTTAAATATGGCTTGGCAGCTATGGCGCAAGAAGCCAAAAAGTTCCAATCGTAAAATGTTTATGTAAAAAGGTTATTTTTGCTTATTTAAAACACAAGTACATAACATAACTCTAGATCAGTGGTTCAACCTTTTTCTTTCGTGGCCCATCTTCGTCGCACAGAAATTCTTGTGGCTCTCTAATTTTTTATTGCAAGGAAAAACTACGATAAAAAAACAAGATCTTTATGCGAAAATAGAAACGTTTACAATTAAAATGGTAATTGCCACTCCGTAACGGAAAACACCATCGTCATTCATTGTTGCTACAATTAAAACCAGATGTTGTGATATAAATCAAACTAGCGATTTTGATAGCTCCTGTGGCCCAGCACAATCCTTGTTGAGAACAAGCCGTCTAGATAAATTGTTTCCAACTATCAAAAAGGGAGCCTTTTTGAACTTTGCCACGGCAGCCATTTTACGTAGACACGCCACTGACTAAGTAAGTATATTAAGATTTAACATAAGCACAGTTTTTATTGAAATTTGATCCTCATCGATCCAGGTCTGAGTCTCCTTGCCCCGGAATATCTGAACGCTATAAACCAGACGCGGGTATAAAGTACTGCCCGCGGGCCGAGTCCGGCCCGCCGAAGTTGCCGTAACTAAATCGAACCCAAATTGAGGTTATAGCTAAAGCAATTAAGATTTTGATAAAATTGAATTTTCTCATGTTGCATGTTGTCTTCCACCTTTGGTTTGTACACTGCAAGTATTGTTCATAAAATATAACTTCTTACGTCACGCTTACATGCCAGTCTGACTGAATGGGCAAAAGTTTGTGCCCCTAATTTAAAAACCTTGTCGTAGACGTTTATTTCTGCTACTGAGTACCAGTTTCTCATTTCACTCTTGAATTCGTTCATAATACGCATATGGATCCAGAGAAGTAGAAGACTGACTAGTTCCAAGAGCTGATGGTTTCCACTTTTACATAACAAGTTCTTTTATTCGTTTTTTCTCCCGCTGATATATGGCCAGTTTCAAAGAGGTTTTTTCGGGTATGGGACTATCTAGACTGCATACCCTCTGACAGATCATTTTGAACGTAAAATTGACTAATTAAAGTAGCGTGTTACAACTAGAGCTGGGCACGTTGAATCGAATATTCGAATCGAATATTCGAATCGAATATTCGAATCTAATAGTAAATTATTCGAATCGGTTCAGAGCTAAATTTCGAATCGCCGCCATCTTGTTTTCATAAGAGTCATATTTTTTCAACGAAATTCTAACATATGACTATTTTCTGTAGTGGATTATTATTGATAAAACGTGTTTGTTATTCTGTGTGAACGCCCAGTAATCTGAGTGATTTATTCTATGTCTTCAGTAATTCATTTGTTGAGGGGACCAATTACTATAGTAAAGTCGCTTACAATTATATATTTTCAAGTATTCGAGATTCGATTCGAAAAAATTATTCGATTCGATTCTGAAATCACAAGGTATTCGAAAATGTCCAGCCCTAGTTACAACCCGTATAGGAATGTTTCATTGGATTCCCAAATTCCTTGTTCTCAATAAATTTAGTGTTGGTGGTGAAAGTCTGGCTAAAAGCACCGAAGTTATTTGTCTTTAAACTATTTAAATCTATTCGTTCTGGTGTATTATTATTCTAATATCATTTCACGATTACCAATAAAAAATTTGAAAATAGAAATCTTCTTGCGTGTCTCGTGTTTTTGATGTTTTAAAGGTCTTTTTTGTGTATAGGGAGTTTTATCTATTCAAAACACCGGTTAATCGTCAAGAGGTAGGGTGGGTGTAATCAGTAGCGGATTGTGACGTCATTCGCTGGTTTTGGGATCTAATTTTTGAGCGATTGTGACGTCATCAAATTCAAAATTTTTGCAGCGGGCCCAGGAACCTGGAAAAATCGCTTCGAAAATTTTATGTATGGCCGATCGTTGGCCATAGATAATTCAAGCGTAATTAAAAAAAATATATTCGATCATGTGTGATTATATATGATCGGTATATGAATTTCAAATTTATCGATTTTCGCGAGTTTCGCGAATTTCTTGAATTTAGGCCGATTTCGTGGATTTTAAGCTTTCACTGGGCTCCGCTGTCACTTGGAAGGTTCGGAGAGCAACCGATTCCGATTTTTTCTAGAATGTACTGCCAGTGAGACTCAAACCATTAGCATAAAGATTCAACGAGACACCGTGACCAGCGCCTTTACCGACTACGCCATACAATTGTGAACAGCAGATGATTTAAGTTTTACTATTTATCTCTAAGTAGTTGGGAGTTGCCATATATCGCAAAAGTTTACACTTTCCTGTACGAGTACAAAAATTTGGGTGATTGCTATGTCTAAAGATAAATATTCGAGGTTAGCTTTGTGTTTAGATTTGCGAATGTGGTCAAGGGGATAAGGGCGTACAATTTTTATCTTAGTGTTCTCGGTTCAAGCCCCATCGAAGATACCTCTATTGATAAATATTAGAGGTTAGAACGGTGACTGGATTTTCGAATGTGGTCAAGGGGATAAGGGCGTCAAATTTTTATCTTAGTGTTCTCGGTTCAAGCCTCATCGAAGATACCTCTATTGATAAATATTAGAGGTTAGAACAGTGACTGAATTTTCGAATGTGGTCAAGGGGATAAGGGCGTTAAACTTTTATCTTGGTGCTTATAGTTCAAACCCTATCGAAGCTATCTATCAATTAAAAACGTGTAAGCTCAGATGGGGCTTGAACTGCGAGCTCCAAGATAGAAGTCGACCGCCCTTATCCCCTTGACCACATTCGCGAAATCAGCCAGTAATCTAACCTGTAATATTTATCCATGGAGGTATCTTCGACGGGGCTTGAACCAAGAGCACTAAGATAAAAATTTGACGCCCTTATCCCCTTGACTACATTCGCGAAATCAACCAGTAATCTAACCTGTAATATTTATCCATAGAGGTATCTTCGACGGGGCTTGAACCAAGAGCACTAAGATAAAAATTTGACGCCCTTATCCCCTTGACTACATTCGCGAAATCAACCAGTAATCTAACCTCTAATATTTATCCATAGAGGTATCTTCGATGGGGCTTGAACCTAGAGCACTAAGATAAAAATTTGACGCCTTTATCCCCATGACCACCATCGCAAATTCAGCGGCTCGTCTAACTTCTAATATTCATCTTTAGAGGTAGCAATCAACCAAACTTTTTGTACTTACACAGCAAAGTGTGAACTTTTTCGATATACAACTCCGGACTGCTTAGAGATAAATAGTAGGTTATTAACTAACAACATTCGTATGGCGAGGTAGGTTAAGGAGATTGGCTCAGTGTCCCCTTAGATCTTGATGCTCATGGTTTGAGCCTCACTCGCAGTACATTCTAGACAGATAGAAATCAGTTATTCTCCGGAGACTCTGAGTGTCAGCGGATTCCAACGAAAGCTCCGAAATCCCTAAAAATCAAGAAAATCGAAGGCTCAGACCCACGAAAATCGAAAAATTTCAAATTTATATGCTGATCATGCATGATCGTAGATAAATTTTTGTAATTACACTCGAATTATCTATGGCCGTGGCCATACATGAATAATTCCGATTAGATTTTCCGGTTCTGGGCCGCCCGTCAGGTCCTCAGTCGCCTCCTGTCCACCGGACCGTTAATCACGTGACACGAAAACCACGCCTAACCACCAGAACCTACGAATTACCAACATTTCGATACTCTTTCACCATTCTATGCCAGCACTAACTAAAACAGTCAGTCACTCTGATCCCTATATAATACCCAATACATCAAGAAACATGTAATGCACTTTGCCAGTTTATTTGCACATAACTTCTAAATATTAGTGAATAAGCAATATTTTATGAATAAGCACCATCTTCGCTCTAGATAAGCATTTGCTCAAATTATAAAAAAGCATCATTTTGGTTAAGAATAAACACTATTTTTAGAGTGAAAGGGCATTATCCGCAGACTGAAGAAAATTTTTTAGACACTACCTTGATTCACTCACGCTGATTCAACATTTGCAACAAGTGGATAAGAAAACGCTTTACACTTAAATCAGGGTGCTCCATACCCTCGCCCACCGCTTCATTACCCGTGGCCCGCGTCGTATTTGCGGGAAAAATATGGATATGGGAGGGAAAATACCACAATGCTCGCTTGATATATCTGCAAGTTGTGTTGGTGACAATCTAAAACGGCATTTTCACCTTATTACCCTTTCTCCTTAAATTTATCATTAGAATACCTTTTCATTAAAGCATTCTTGTGACATACCTATAGGACACGCAATCAGTACCGTGCCCAGAGAAAATCATGGGGAAGTGCAATTTAAGCTATTAATCGCGAGCCGCAGGTCAAAGAGCGTCCAGTTACTTCTGAGTTTTACCAGCATTTAGTTGACGTGATCAATTTATTCAAGAAGACTCATATTGGGTAAATTTAGTCGGCTAGTAGAGTCGATGAATAGAGTCTTTTAACACTGGTCAGCCAAGATGATGGTTTTAGACCAGAAAACTGGTTCTCAATCGGTAGGCCATGGCCCACTGCTGGATCACAGGTCTATTAAAAATTGCTAGTTTCAATTGCGTCACTACAGTTAGTTCCGATTGTTGCAGCAAAGAATGACGATTCGGGTAGGTAATTTTCATTCTAATCATTACCGTGCCCATTTTGTGGGAAGATGGTTTCAGTTTTTTTTTTACAAAGTTATCGGGCCACAGAATTTTTGTTGGGACGAAAATGGGCCACGGAAGAAAAAGGTCGAGAACCAGTGGACTAGAAAATCTGCCTAACCCAAAGGACTAAAACCCCGGGGTGCCTTGGACAGCAAAAGTATCTGAAACGGTGATTTTTCAGTGCAATATTCGATTGCAATGTCATTAATTAGACCAGCAGCAGTTTTAAAAGTTCGCAGGACATGAAGGAGGGGTGTATATAAATTAGAACACCCGATAATTATGTTAATCAGAATTAGCAATAATTTGTATTAAATTTTAGTCTGGTTCAAATCTATCTTCGTTTTCATCTTTCACATAATTATGGAGGCAAAGAATAACCTGAAAATAAAGTAAAAGGTTTAATTGGTATCGACCAACATGTAAATCGACAAGTGGTCGATTTTGACGCAGCTGAAAGCTTTAAAAATTTGCGAATATAGTCAATAATAATCACGCATAAGAAGTTTTTCATTGGAATTACTTACAAATTATCTAATGAAATAATGGTGTACCCAGAAGTATGTGCACCAAGATATGTAGCGCACATCCTGAACATAGTATGTGTAACAAGGTTAGGGTTCAGATTGTGCGCCATCTTGGTGCCCATACTTCCGCAGCGCCGAAATAATCTTAATCAGTCGTTTTATTATTGGGTCAAAACTTATCAGGCGAAAGGGCGCCAGACCATTTTATTCAGCTTATATTTATAATTATTTAGCTTTTTCAGCATAATTTAATAACGTCGCCGTTTACTAATTAATCGACTATTATGAAACGATATTTGTAAAATCATATTCAAATATATTTGAATATAAACGTTGTGAAAAACAACCACGCAACAACGATAATGCAATTTAGGACTAAAATTTTTTATAGGCTTTGACGTGTCTAAGCTCTACGCTTATTTAAGTAATGTGACGTTTCTCGTTATTCTCCCGCTACATAGGTATAGTGAGACTACTATGGTATAGTGAGACTACTATTGTGCGACGCTGTGGAATTGATTAAGTTTGAATATAATAAAATGAACATTTGGGTTTTCGTTTAACGTATTTCCGATTTTAATTCAAATGCAAACTGCAGTTTAGGTCTTCACATTTTTATTTCGAACCGATCGCGCCATACAACTTTCGGCTTCTAAAGAACTACGAAACACAATTGAGACTTTTATTCAACACCGATTTTACATACCTTTAAGAGAGTGGAATTGACCCGCTGGTCGCATAGCGCAAGAGGCGTGTCAAACTTTTCTGCTGCTGCCCGGGACGAGTTTCTGATAATACTGCCCCTTATACTTAACTTCAAAAATGATTCGGGGATAAACAAATTATAGATGTTGTTATACATGAGAATAAATCAATTAAAGGCCAATTAAAAGTAAAATGTTTGTATTATTATTATTATTTAAATAAAACTAAACAACAAACTCACCCTTATAAATACCGTGCTGCCCGGGGCGACTGCCCCTTTGGACTAACTAGAGACACGCCTGCCTTTACATTTCTCACTGTTGATTATAGCATCTGAAATATAGATATTACACACTTAACTCACAGGTACATACAAGAATTCAACTTAGTATTTCAGGCTTACACTCTAATTAACGCAACGACAGTGGTGAGCCATGTCAAAACCAGAGCTGTGTAAACGTATCAGCGTATTTTAAGCAAGGGCACTATATAGAGCACAAATCAAAATTCGGTTAACTACGAAGACGACAAGTTTATGAGTTATGTTTTTATTCGAATCTAAAATAGATATTTGCTTTGAAGTACTTTTGGTCAACATTTGATTATCCCGTTAAATCTATGAATAATAATTATACTATTTAGCTTATTTCATTCCTGTATATTACCGCGAGTATGGCACAAATCATTTGACCTAAAGCTGCATTGCTTTACAATGACAATTTAAAACCCTTATTTATTTTAAATTATTTTGAGGCGGAAGGAGTGAAAATATTTGTCAACTGGGAGTCGCTATCAGTTCTTTTCAAAAGCTTATACTTGAGAAGGGCTGTCAAAATTGTGGATATAGATCAACCTTTGAGTTTGAAAGAATTTTGATCGCTTGAATGCTTTGATTCTGACCCTCGACTTGAAATTTTTACTCGCACAGATTTTTGGTAAATTATGCACGGGTACATCCAGGATGTATTCGCATTGTTTATTCAGCTCAGTAGTCAAACTTCATTACATTAGTTAAATCACAATTATAGGATTTTACTAAGATTCCATACCTTTGTCATTCGTTTGTACAGTTGACGCTATTTTAAGTAGAGATCATGATATTGAAAGTTGGTTGGATTATAGGGAATATACTTGATAAGGGCTTCGAGAAATAATTTTTTCAACTGTAGCATTTGGCCATAAAATAGTTTTCCAGCGGGAGTGATACCCGGAGCCTTAGACAGAGCAAAGGAAGTAGCGAGTCAAAAATACAAATATAACTGAATAATCTAAAGTTGAAATATACTTAAAAAAAAATAATATTTTACAAGTTTTCGGAGAGTCTTAAATAAAAACATGAGCGACGTCGCAAAATTTTACTTTTCCATCTTAACTGGAGGGAAGATTTATTATTTTCCATTTTCCAGCGCCTACAGATAACCTCGAATAATTGATTTTAATTTGAGGCAAACGGCAGTTACTTGTATAGGCGTGCTTTTTGAGTTAGATGATCTTGTCGATCTCTGCGCTACGAGGAAAAAACTGGATTGTAGGATTACCTGTTAATAGTTTGAACTTTAGTTAATAACGTAAAAAGTCCGTAAGATACATTAGAATTTCGCACTTTTTTTTGTTTTTGTTTTTTGTTTTTTCTACTAAGAATTCCATCAAAAAATGTTATGCCAAAATTTATTTTTAGGCGGTGTTAATAATAAAAAGGAATATATCTCGCATCGCGATGCACATGCGAACTATCAGATATCATGTAGAAACTTCACTCACTCGTTTTGACTTTTCAAAAAGCGGCGTAAACGAAGTTGCGCATAACTGGTACCCCGAAAAAAAAGACTTTATACCGATTTACCACTTTTTACCATTTATACCGATCCAGCGATTCGTCTATCGATTGTGGATACATAATTTTCAGGCAAGCATCGAGTAGCTATAACGATAAGTGCAATAAAACGAGCATATATTTCATTTGAATATAATATATTTAGAGTGCAAAATTGATACGAACATTATTCAAAGTGTAATTGATAATGAATATATCTTGCATCACGATACGATTTGTCAGATATCACTAAAAACTACTCGCTCGTTAGTCTGACTTTTTTAAGAAGCAGCGAGTACGAAGTTGCGTAGAGGTGTTGTTTTCCTCCCAAATCCCAGGACGCCTTGGAAACGAGACCGCCAATCGGATTTTTATTGCTTATCACAAATTTAAAAAAGCAATTTCGAAATTGAGGGGGTGGTTAAGTATTTTGCTATTTGGAATAAAACTATTTGTAGCTTATACAAATGTGTTACGTATTTTACAAACGATCTACACTGATATGTCATATTCTACAGTTCCAAATACAATTATACTTCAATCTAGGAATTAAAATGTGGTATTACACCTCAAAATTAGGGGAGGGTTGAAATTTTAGGGGGTGTAGGGAAATCGCTGGGCCCCAGGGCTCCGCGAGCTATTCGTTTATTTAATAAAACACTGACTTGGGTAGTTTATGAATTGTCCAATGAAGCAATAACAGCATTAATAAAATTTGACAACGGCTAATACATTCATTAAATAAAGTAATTTTGATTTACTCAGGACCATTAATCGATGAGTAACAATGTGTGTTTTTGTTTTTATGAAATTATTGTTGGGATCCGTAAATAAGAGTCAACACCAAAAGTTTGAGTACCCCTGAAACAAACAACCATTATGGTATTCAGCGCTATAGGTCTCGATAGACAGTGCAGTAGCGCAGCGAAATCGTATTTAACAACCATCTTCTGCAAGCAGTTAGACATCAATTTCATACTTGTTTTACATAGATGCTTTTTTATAGAAAAAAAAAAATAAATACCGCCGCACTCGGTATTCTGCTAGCAGTTAGACATACATAAATACTTGAAAAAAAAAAAAAACTATCTCAGCCTTCGGTAATAATTTGAGGTGTTATTCCTGTACAATTCTGTATCAGAAACGAAGAGTGAATCACTGAATCAGGTACTTTGTCGCATTCTGGGTTCGTACTAAAAGTCGCTTTGAGTTATCTGTCAAAAGTTAACATAGTTTAGTTGGTGCAATGAAATACATTCCTCTCATCACTTTTTACCTTCAGATGTCTGCACGAATGAGATAATCACTCACGCCGATTCGTGGGCTACTATCGTCGCTCCATTCGGAAAATTCGTCCGGGATACCTGCGTTCCGTAATTTCGTCTTAAATGAGAAAAACTAGATCAGTAACCCAATCGTACCTAACAACCATCCTCTGTCATGTTATTTATTATTTTTGAACGAGATTTCCATTCTTGCATATTCGTGGTTTCGTCCGTTGCTTCTGTTGGAATATTCGTTCGGTACGCCTGCAATAGATATAACCTTGACGATATAGAGAAATTTGCAATATTTTTGTAATAAATTTTGGACTATTTTGCGTCAAAAGCGCAAATGACGTTATGCAATTCAGTGTTTTTTTTTAAATGAGAAAGACTACTTTCTATCAGTAATGACCCGTTGCTTTTAAAACTACACTTACCCAAAGAATGTCAGGTCATAAATTATAACGTAAATGACGTCACGCATCTTTTGCAATTTTGAACCGATGAAATTTGCAGGTATATACAGACATTGGAAATATTGATTTCATATCCCTTACTTTTACCAGTTGTGTATTGTGACAAAAGTTATAGCAAGATTCGACTAAGCTTAGCTCACCACAGGAATTTCAAAGCAACCAATCTTTATTGGCGCTCCATAATATTGTACCAATATGAAGGTAATTCTGTTCGCCTATTTTAAATTAAGTTGTGTAAAGGACTGAAGCCTGGGCAGATGGTATGGTATATCCACTCGACTAACACAGGCAGTCTCCGAACTCGTAACAAAACTAAAATAAGGAAAGTTATGGCCTAACCCTAACCTGGTACACAACGGGAGTACCTCTCTATCAGCACAAAATATAATACCAAACCATAATAATTACCAGTCCTAAATCCATGACATTCATTTACGTCAATTCCACGTTCCGGTGAACACAAAAGCAGCAGCGCGAACGAAGCTTATATATTTGACAAACTGGTTGGTTTGAATCCTTGCCTGAATAAAAAATCTTTATTTTGACGGATTTTAATCAATTTCTAAAGAAATTCGACTCGGACACTCACCTGGCATTCCTACAAACCATAACAATTGACAGTCGCATCATATTGTGGCAAATCCTTTCTCCTGGGCTGGCTCCAGCATCTGTAATTTCATATATATATATATATACAGGATGTCCATAAAGTCTTTTACAATTTCAATTTTGTTATGAAGTCGGTTCTCAATATATCTTAACCAGGTTTGTTGCTTTCAGTAATTGTTTGGGTATTTTTATTTCATTTAATACATCTGTGAGGGCCGAAATTATTCATGGTATATTGATAAATTCATTGAAACATTTTAATAATTTCTAGCGGGGATTGTTTCTTATTTGAATGTACTCGGGACACTCACCTGAAATTATTACAAATCTTACCAATCTGCTAGACGCATTCATCATATTGTGGAAAATCATTTCTCTTGGGCTGGCTCCAGCATCTAATTTTATATATTACGCAGGTTGCTTTGAACTTGTATGACTAAAAAATAACGATTGGAAACATTTTAATCATTTCTTGCGGCGATTGTTTCTTATTTGAATGTACTCGGGATACTCTACTGAAAGTATTACAAATCTTACCAATCTGACAGACGCATTCATCATAATGTGGAAAATCATTTCTTTTGGGCTGGCTCCAGCATTTGTAATTTCATCTATTTCACGGGTTGGGTGGCTTGAACTTGTACGACTGAAAACACTTTACTTCTGGCAGCATTTGTTTTCAATTTGAATGTTCTGAAAGTCAACTGACATTTTCATGATTTGCCAGGCTCATACATTTTGCATTTTCACAAATCCTACCGAATGTTCACGCGCATATTATGGCAAATCATTTCTCTTTAACTGGCTCCAGCATCTGTAATTTCATATATTTTGCAGATTTGTTGTTTTGAGTCCGTGCCTGAATAAAAAATCTTTATAAAAATGACTAACCAATATCCAGCGCCAATTGTTTTTAATTTGATGCACTCGAACACTCACCTGTTATTTTTTTTAGTTTACAAAACTCACCGAATTGGCATATTGTGGCAAATCATTTCTCTTGGGCTGGCATCGGCATTGGAGACCAATGTTTTTATGAAAATATTCTAACAAGTGTTGCTTGCGACGAGAACGATGGACGCGATCTTCTCCTCATGCATAATTAGACCCTTGAGAAAACATCAATTATGCAACGAGAAAATCCGATAACACAAATTCAAACGAATCGAAATAAATGAATTGACCATTTATAGTCAATGAAACCCAAATAACGTAAAAAATGCACGAAACAACAAATCCACAGGACGGGCCAAAAACACCTTTTCGATGGCTGTCAACCCCCATTGGCGCACCCTGTATATTAAGGTAATACACACACACCTATGAATATATAAGGCTATAATCTAAACCTTCTAGACTTTCGCTTCCTGACCCAAAATAACAAAAAAGCATGAAATAGCAATTCTAGGATACAGCGTGGGTCAAAATCACTTTTTATTAATTGTAGAACAACTTTTGGCCCACTCTATACATTGGGTTGACACACATATGTATATACTTATGACTCCCCTAAACTTTCGCTTCCAGAACTGTTTTACTTTACACTAGCGCTAGCTAAAACCTGAAATCTGCAGCCGCACCTACGCCACGTGCGATTCAAATGCGCTTCATCCGACGCCAATCACGTCCACGTGTCCCGATTAGAAAAACGCAATTATAATAAAGAAACAAGATTGTGACCAAGTCGAGTCTTGTTGTCAATAACTGATTGGTTAACGAAGGAAGTTACGTGATTTATCTACGTCTCCGTTTATCCCAAACCGAAAATATTTGTGCGTCGTCGTTTTTGTTTATCCATAAATTACGAATGGCGAACAAAAATTTTGAATTAAGATAAATCAATTTTTGAAATAATATCTTGCGACTTATTAAATGAGAATCCAAATGAAAAGGTTTGAACGAAAAAATCTGTCTTGTTTGGTGAAATTAATATTTCCGAATGAATTTATACGTTTATACGCCCATTCACTGTGTTAGAACAACACCCTCTAACACACGGGTAGGCAACCTTTAGCATTGGGAGAGCCACTTGGTATATTTCCCAGCAAACTCGAATTTACTCCGAGCCGAAACCTTTACACCAGGGGTCGGCAACCTACGGCCCGCGGAGCACTATAATCCGGCCCGCGACGCTTTATTAAATTATAGTAACAAAATATTCGTTTTGACGAATATATTCTTTAGACTAAATTATATTATAACCTAACAATTATATAATTCACAATTACTCGTTTAATGAGCATATAATTTAATTATAATTAAGCAAATGGCAACAAAACGCAGAAAAGTTGATGCTAAGTGCAAAGGGTTGAATGACCTGAAAATATCCAAATGGAATTTTTTGAGATGCAATGAGGAAATAAATCTACATTCTATCCGAGAGATGTATCACTGCTTGATTTTCATTATAAAAAGTACCATCCGTTCGGTTTTTCAACTTTCTAAAAATATTCGCGGCCCGCCAATGACTTACAACCTTAATGTTGGCCCCACTGCTTTTAACAAAAACTGCTGTAACCACTTTGATTCACAAGAGCCAGAACTTCGTAAACAAAGAGCCGCAGGTTGCTGATCGCTGCCCTAACATCAGATATATCTAATTGCTTGAAATGAACGTTCGTTACAACATAGTACACGCTTTTCACTCCGAACGTAGCAGGCAAGCAGCAATTCCTGGTTGAGAGCTACAATTTCATTTTCAACACTTTTAAATTTCCTCTTAAAATCGCGGCTTTATATAAGCAGTCAATGGCTTATTTAGGGCGTTTTTCAAGCTCATACATCTGGAATAGGGCTGTGCATTTCGAACCGAATAGTATATTATTCGAATAGGTTCAGAGCAAAATTTCGAATGGCCGCCATCTTTTCTTTCTTTCTGCCAATGGTCGAGGTGAATTTTTTTTATTAAAGCCATTTTTTTCAAGGCAATTCTGACATATGACTATTTTCGGTAGCGAGTTATTGATAAAACGTGTTTCTTATTGTGTTTGAACACTAAGCAATCTGTATTGAGTAATGTATTTTATGTTTCCAGTAAATCATTCGTTGACAGGGACAATTACAATAAAAAGTCGCATAGAATTATACATATCTCAGGTATTCGAGATTCGATTCGAAAAAAATATTCGATTCTGAAATTCAGGTATTCGAAAATGCCCATCTTAATCTGGAACGTTAATTGATTATAGGATAGGATTTTCACGTTTATCCAGCGAATAGGAAAGCCCATAAAGCGACTTAATCTATAGCGAACCATGCAGAGGCGTATCTACGGGGAATGGCGCCCATCACAAAGTTTGAATATGCCCTCGTTGATCGTTAGTTAACAATTTTTATTAATGGCTATTGGTGAAATGAGATTCTTTTACGTTATTATTCAAGTAAAATTAGGAGTTTCATTTATTTCCCATTTTCAATTGGTTTATTAAAACTTTATACAACGCCCATTTCAGCGATACCCACGTAATCCACGGCCGGTTTTAGAAAAATTCGCCGTATAGGAAAAATCGCCGCAAAAGCATTTTTTATTTAAAAAGATTCGTTATTTGAGGGCATACCCTAACCCCATAAACTTACTGTTTTTATCATGAATACTTGTTTTACAGCAAAAATCATCTTGCGTGGATATATCCCGCGACGATTTCCTGCGGAAATTTTCGGCACACGTCCACGGCATCCTCTAATTATCAGTCCCATGTCTGGCAAAAGTTTAGTTAACCAGTTATTTTTATTTCAGATGCATCCATACCTAGGCTGACTTAGTAATGGGTATCGAGGCAGTTGTTCGACAATGCCATTTGATCATATCCATTTGTGGTGCATGTCGCACATCTATGGCTTAGGTCAGTGAGGTCTTGAACATGTATCCAGTCTCTGTTATATCATTTAATTATTACGCGGATACTGTTACATGCTTGAGGCAAATAAACATACAAACATATTGCTCTTCCTTGAGGATTGGGTTCGGGTCAGACCCGTGCCCCCCACTTTACCCATCTATCCTATGATTAATCCGCCCCCTTCCCAGGGGAAATCAGAAAATACAGGTCAAACACACACGGAATATTCAATCGAATCCTAGTATTATTAGTAATCATGCTAAATATTTACAAATGAGATTTCCAATTTTAATCAAGATTAAACAATAGGTTGCTAAATAAACGGAAAATATGAACAAATGTAACAACAATGAAGCATGCAGAAAGAAATTAAACTTTTACTAAATTGTCACTTCAGAATTTGGATCAATGTTTCAGTGAAGAGAATAATATACATATACACAGGCCGTGCGATTTTAGACCACCGCGACCTAGGTCGCTGTAAGTCGTGTTCTAGTAAATATAACTAATATGAAGTATAGAAGTATAAAAGGAGATGAAATGTCTGGACAAATTCTTTCCATTAGGGCTCTAAAAATGTGGCAAAAATATGGGGTTAAACTGCGTTCTATGAAACATAGACCGGTCGATATTGCAAAGTGATTCGAGATAGCAATTTGTAAAAATATAGAAAAGTAATAGATTGTTTAATTCCGATCAAAGGATTAGAGACATAGTATAGTTTAGGTCAATGTAACTTAATGAGAAAAATTGGCACTTTACAATACGAATCGAAGAATATTATACCGGTACCTCCATATATATATAAGCAGGGTTCGTTTCGCATAGGGCTCGCAATAATTATGGCCGGCCTTACATACAATAGAGCATTATTGGCTCTGAAGAATAGGCCCCGTGGAGGCAAAATATTGCCCAATATAGGGTTAAATTGCAGTGCAGTATTACTATATTGATGCTTGTCATTGTAATGGAAGTTTAACACATTATTTGTATGATTTGAAAAATTACAGTGGGTAAATCCATCGTATATAGATAAGGTATATAGATAAGGACTGGTGGTTAATCATAAAGCATGAGTTATGTATTGCCATTTATACAGTTTATACTGGACATTAGAGATATGTGCAATTCAATCAAATATGTTATATGTAGCTCACTACAAGGCTATAAACAAGCAAACAAGGTATAGGCATGCCATATTGGTTGTAACTTGTATATCACAGTATATAGTAGATAATAATAAGCAAACTTGAAACTTTACCATGGCCGTATTACTAAATTACATGTTTCTTGGGATGCCAAAAGATAAAAAATGCAAAAATAATCTGGAAAAGGCTGGTTAATGATTATAATTATCAGTTGGGGTTACTCAAAACTAACTTTCTACATTTTTATACCTTTGTGAAAGAAATCAGTATGTACATAATACAAGGGTGCTACAGCACGAATGATGATGACCATTGAATCACATAGACTAGCTAAGTTACTTGCTTCTCAATGATAGAAAATAACAAAACAAAAAAATAATAATGAAATTAGCAAGGAAACAGGGTCTAACAATAGATATTAGAATAGTTCATCCAACACACATTCTTCCAATACGAGTGTTAAAAAAAATTCAACAGCTGACAGGCATAACTATAATGTAACTGCAAAACTAGTTACATCGTAAAACTACAAAAATACCACAATATTGATAACAACCATGATTACATTATAAACAAAACGATTGAAAAACATAATCAACTAATTTTTTTTAGTTATTATTATTTATTTATTAGTTTTTATTAGTTTATTTTTAATTTTTTTTTCCAATTTTTGTTATACAGGCTTTGCATTGTATAATTATATAATGTATAATGTAGGAGTGAGCACTTTAATCAGTATATTTCAAATATAGAGAAGAAATAGATGCGAGTGCTACTGACAAAAATGAAATGGAACGGTCAATATATGACATTCACATTGAAAAAATAAAATTATTTACAAAGCATTTAAAGACATGACTCCTAATAATCATATCCAAATCATAGGAAAACTAAAATGTGAAGATTACAAACGGGCTGGCGGTAATGTCATTTCTAATAGTACCGAAGAAGAATATAGAGAAGTTACGTATATTAGAAAACTGGCTAAAGTTATTCTACAAAATATTAATATATACGGTACATTGTTAGAAGAAAGTGACAATTCTTTGAGATCTTTTTCGAGACTGGTGTAAACTGGGCAGGCATATGTCAATATTTTTTGTTTGTTGTAGTCAAATGTCTTATCACAGAAAAGGCTTGAATACGGCTTGCAAGTAAGTCAAAATCTATTCATGTGTTTGGATATTTGGAACGGAATTTGGTTGAAGTCAAATTTTTTACACATGACTTGAAAAATATTTTTCAAATTTTTTGTCGGTCGTAGTCAGATAAATTTTGAGTTGCAAGCAAAAGAAGTAATACATCTCAAATATTATATCCAAAGGCAGGAGGTAATAAGGTTGGAGAGCCTTATTTTGGAAGACACTCCAAATTGGCAATTGGCAAGAGTCATGGTCACAGTCAGAACTCAAATTTTTCTGAATTCGTGGATAAATTTAAAATTTTTGCATTTTGTGATTGGAGATTAAGGTAACTTAAAACTCAAATTAAGACCAAGTACTACTGTACTTGGATACATATACGTAAATAAAAGGAGGAATTAGGGTTTTGACCAGAGCTGTGAGACTGGAGCAAGTTTTCACTGAAGTTAGAATCATATTC